TGAGAATGTATTCTGCTTGGACGTTTATATAAAAAAAAACATTTTAAAGCCAGCTGGTACTATTGATATATCAATCTAAGTCTGTTTGAGTAACTTATGAATAAGAAAATTTTTGGCAGTTTGTTCGACTTCACCGTTTTCGAATTAAATTTTTCTGCTCATTTGTGAACCTATTTTTTCTTCACAAGATGAGATCACTTTTTGCAATTTAAGCCACAATTTTTCTGCCCTTAATTTTTATGCTCAGTTTCAATTTGGCTTTGATTTGGCGCGGAAGCTGCAGGTACATGACACAATAGTTGCAGTTTTTAGTTTTTGACCGATATAATGAACGAACATTTTGACAAATGATGGATGAGAGTATTTCAAAAGCACTAATCTTGCTAAAAATAGAAGCCATTGTTTTCATGGGGTTATTTGATCATTCAAGCGGAGCTTGCCTGAGCGATGTTCTTAGTGCCCAGGGAGTATGATTTTATGTACTTGCGTTACTTAAAAAAACGGTAATTTTGTACGGCAAAAACCGCACAATTTTTTTAAGTAACGCAGTACTTGTGTTACTCAAAAAAACGCCGTTTTTTTTAGTATTTTTGTTCTGGTGATCAAAATAAGCCAACAAAAAAACTGCTAAAAATTTGACTGCTCGTAGCTATGCACAAGACTAATAGACTGGTAGACTGGTAAGCAGTGGCGTTGATGTTACAAATTTTCAACTTTCTGACGCGAGCGCCTAAATAATTTAAATTTCCTGTGCCCTCAAAAAAGGTCAGTTGTCTGCTAACGTAGGTCCGTGTTGGTGACAAGTTATTTCGGCTGTAAAATCATTCGGATCTACTTAACAATCCCCCCCCCCCTATGGTACCTACTTAAGAATCTCCGCCCCTATAAATAAATTCGGTCTGTACCTTCTGATCGCTATATATCGTAAAAAATCCGTGTTAAACAAAAAGTTTATTATAATTAGGTGTTAAAGGAAAATATATATAGCATGCAAACAATTTATTTCCAGTTCATCACAAAGTAGTTGAAAATATAGCGTTAGCAATTGGTTGATGGTTGTACAAAAGAAAATGGCTTTTCACGACATCCAAAATATCCAACTCAGCGCAACTCATGTAATCGAAATCCGACTGTGCAAACGAAAAGAGATTGTTCACGACTATGATTTCATTAGCGAGACAGAATTTAACAGCGCTCTCTTTGACTCTATTGTCCACTGGCAAATCGCTCGCCACGTGCACACGGACCGAACACATTTGTCGTGGGAAGGAACTCGTGAACAGACCTCGGGTGCATGAGTTTGATTGCTTTCGGCTCTGTTTTTTCTGAAACACGAGATCGTACGAAACAACTGGCCAATTAGCGATGTGTGATTTGTCCGACACAAGTTTAATAAATCTGTCGTCGGTTTTAAAAAGGTCAGGTTCCCAATTCCAAGCTTCGTAAAGATAAAGGTGGTTTTCGAATGTTTCTTCGAGAGATTTAGACGACAAGGTTATTAAATTTTGCAGCGAAAGCGTCTCGGTACCAGTTAGTCCTCGATAACGTAAAACTGCAATTTCCAGAACAATCGGGATTTTCTGTTTTTTCATTATGATTGATTATCGAATTGTGAACCTAATTGAGTATATGTAAAATATGTCTATAAAATGGAGATCAATTAGAAAACATAAAATGAGGGCTCAATTAAAAAGAGAGGGTTTATAGTTCTGACTGACAGGAAACCAAATGGTAAAAAATTCGGTTCAAAATGAGAATGAAGCAGTTAAAATTGAACTGAATATTCCAATTATCCTGCGATAGCTCTTCCCAAAATGGCACGCAGCTCGTGCTTGTTCAATAGGGAAATTCGAATTGGGTGTTGATATAAGTTGTTTTCACATTTACCAAAAGCGTAAGCTGGAAAACAAACACACGTTTGTCTAACCGCAGGTCCGAGTGCCCTAAAATAGGGCTAGAAAATTCGTTCAAAACCCGAACAACTCAAGAAAATGTTTATACATTTTTTTGAAGCTAGGACCAGCGACTTTATAATAAAACACGAAATTGACACTTTTTTAAGCACTTAGCTTAAGTATAAGGAATTAGTTTTAGCTTAACTAAACTGAAAATTACTCGTTCAAACTGAATTTCAATATCACTAATTGATGCAAACAGTGGGAGAAAGGAATCAGGAAATTGATTTTCCGGTTTCGGAAGGTAAAGAAGATTTTGACTTTTGTTCCTTGGTATACTTAAAAAGATGTTTGTGATAAACGAAAATGGTTTCAAAAGGAAATTTCGTGAGTTCTTTAAAGCGCCTTTTGTTCAAGCGTACCGCTATTTTGAAATGATGTTTGAAACTGCTAAGATTAATTGAAATTATCAGTACTATAACTTCTTTTATTTTCAGCTTACTTTTACCTTTGTTATTTTAATGGTTTTTTAAATGTCAACTAATGAAAAAACAAGTCAAACATTAACGTGTATTTTTCAGGCAATTCTTCAAAGCAGTTAAAATTAGGTGCTAAAGGGCACTAAGCGCTTTTTCCGCGTTGTTTGTGAAAAGCCTTTCTGGTGTTAATGAAGGAACGGCGTGGCGCCATTGGAAACTTAAGCTGTTTACTGAGATGAATGCTAACAGAGCAGCCACAGGATTACATTAATTACTAGAGCTAACAATAAATGGCTGATCAAAGAAGACTGCTCGTATATCAGGGCAAAGCCCTGAGTGTTCCGACTGTCCCTTAATTCATATCAAAAAGTTTTTGGGAGAAGAAAATATTGAAAACCTATAAGTTTTAGACAATATCAAAGTGTGAAATGTTGAGTCGTTTGAAATTAATACGAGCAATCTGATTAGCTAGCCTCAATTCAATTTGGAACGATTTCGCGTTCAAAATAATTCGAGTTACGATCTCAGCAATATAACTAAATTCTTCAAAACGCGCTTAATTTAGTCCAGAACATGGCCAATTGGGCAACCCCCATAACTTGTCAAAAAATAATCGGAAAAAATATATCTTTTTTAAAATTTGAACTCAAGAAGTCGATATCTTCAATAAATAAAAAAATTGTTGTCAAAAACTATTATTTAGATCGGCAAAAATTCACTGAATAAAAAAAACCACACCGAGCACAAATATTCCGTTTTCTTCGAAAGTCGGATCAATAAATGACGGTGTTTGAGTAAACAACGTACAAATAATTTCTACAATTTTTAAAAAAAATAGAGTTGAATAATGTTATTTTTGTGCATGAGAAGCGTATTTATTGTTCATAGGTTGAAAACTGAATAATAATTTTCGACAACATTTTTTTTATAGTTTACAAACTAGTTTTAACCAATGTCAACTTAATAGACTACCATTCTCCTCCGTATCACTAACAAAATTGACTTTTATGCGTGATTAATTGATTTTACGAGGTACGAGGTTATGTATGACGAAAAAACGTGTTTGGAATTGGGTGTTTGCCATGCACGCCAATTTCGTGACAACCAGAAAATTTGAAATTTTTTCCAGGACAGCTCCGTTTTTGATTTTGTTTGAAAATCTGGATCAATTAAATTATCTCCCACCTCCCCCTGGACGCGCTTGGGGGGACGTGTGAAGCAGGTGATAGCTCAATCGTTATTGAGGCATGTTTTTAATTGCTTGAAAACCGTTCAAATGAATTGAAATTATCAACCAGATTCTCAAACGAAATGCGGAGCACCAAAAATCACAATATCAGCACATATAAAAACACTTTCAAAGTAAAAGTAAACCCCTAAAACTGATGTATATGAACCAATAAAACCAACTTTTTGTCCTAAATGAAAAAAGCTTTTGCCTTCAACTTTAATGTGCTGTGGAAAATAGATTTTGTTATTGAGAAAAAAAACTAGAGCACCAACCTTGGTATCTTTTTTCCATGAAGGCAATAAAAGAACTCACGCAAAAAAAACTAAATTTTTCTTAAAGAAAAGTTTCGATTTTTTAAAATATTTTTTGTTAAAAACTCTTGAAAAAATGTCTGTCAACGAATTTATTGAATGCAATGAATACATCGACTAGCTGCCTGTGTTTCATCGGAGTGTTTTTGAAGCGTTTGACCGTTTTGAGGTAAGGGAGGAGATAGCTCAATTAATCATTACGATGAGAGATTGCTCTTACGATCCGAAAAATTTCATCTTAAAAGTTACCCTTCCCTTTTACGATCAGTTCAGTGGGAACCAATCCGACTCGTTTGTTGATTTATTGTTATTTGTAGCCCAACTTACAGTTAGGTTTTACTGTCAACATAATCCCTAACTCGGTTAGAGTGCGGACCCTACAGTCATTCCCCTAACACAAACTAGTTTTAACCAAACCGAACTGACTGGTGGCCTTCTTACTCAAACTGGTCTACCTACAAGTGTAGTTCCATTTTCCATCACAGATTCAACCACCACCGTGTCACCCGGAGGTCTGCCTTAAGCTTCGCTCCGGAGATTTGCAGGTTGTTCTTCCCCTCTGGCTTCAATCTCCTTGCGTCGTATGTCTCCACCGCCTCACCTTGCCGTCGCAACCCTTCGTTTCTTTTTGACACTCTTCGCACGGGTTCTTGCCTTGACCCAGGATCTTCGCATGGGTTCTTGTTTTCCCTCCCGCTTGTTCGCCTACAACGTCTCGTCTGAGGCATACTTCTCCGGATCATCAAAAAGGCTTGCCGGCCGATATACCGTCGGTAGCTTCCTAGCGGTAGCTTCCTGTGGTTGCCCGGTGTCTCCGAGATATCGCTTGTTGAAACCCAGGTACTTCACTTTACTTAGATTGGACACCTTTGACATCTTGTATTTCAATTCTGACAATCTGGCGATCACAACAGATGGCCCTTCCTACGTATCGAAAGACTTCTTCGAACTGATTTTTTCTTTAGACAAGACCCAACACTTTTTCGCCAGCTTCATATGACTCACCGTGAACTTTCTTGAAATACTGGTCCTTCTGTCGACGTTGGTCCATCCCTAGAACTTCTCGCGCACTGCCGTGTGCATCTTAAAACTGCTCGTCTAGCCATTCCGCAAAACCATCCTTCCACAAAATCTCGTCATTAGGTTTGATGTAAAAAAGGTCAACTGGATACTGACACATCTGTCCAAGCACCATACTAAACAGCAGCAAAGCTCCCCACCTCCTTGAATTTTCCATACAATACTTGAGAATATCTTCAGCCACCTTTGTGTTGTGCATTTTGGTCTCTCCGTTACTCTTGGGCTTATAAGGCCAGGTCTGAATTTTGTTGATAAACAAAAGTCGGCACAGATCTTGCATCAATTTACCACCAAAAGTCCCCTCTTGATCCATGGGCAATCTATTGGGAACTCCAAAATTCAGTACGAACCTCTCCACAATCTCTCTCTCGACATCAACAGAATCTGTTGACACCAGGAGAACTGCAGTCGCATACCTTGTGAATATATCCGTCATTACAAGCACATGCTTAGCACCGGCGCGGTCCCAAGATATTCATTGCAACCGTGTTTAACCTGATTCCCGAATCAAATGGGGCCTATTCCGCAGCTCGCTTCTGCTTCCCTTGTGTCCTGTTGTATGCATGGTTTTGGCACCACTGAACCTTTTTTCAACATCAGTTTCATCGTCGGCTACCAGAGCTTCGGTATTCTAGCCAGCATCTTCCCAGCTACAAATTGTCCTTCTCCAGTCCCCATTGAATCGAACTGGCTACGAATCTTTTTCCGACCCACAATTGGAACTACCGTCAGAAGAGTGTGGGAAGAACCGTCCCTCTGAAGCCATTTCTTGCAGAGGATTCCGCCTCTTATGCTCAGATGGTTCCATTGCGACAAGTATGCCAGCGCTGCGGTTTCGTGCTGTCTGGCCTGCTGTTTTGGGATGATGTGTTCCTCTTTTTGTCTGGTAATTCCGCCCAGTAGAACACCTGTGCGATAGCGTCGTCTTGTTTCTGCAATGAGTCAATCTCACCTTGTTTTTCCTTCTCGCTGAAGGCGGCTGCGTTCTCCTGCAGGGGCTGTGCTATTCGTGTATCTCGTCGGTCAGTTCAATAGTCCTCAAACTCTCCTAACTTCCTCAAACGTCTCTGAACCAGTGACACTGTTCGGATCTGTCTGCCCTCCTGGATCTAATGTCACCGCCGGCAATTGGTTTGGAACCTGTTTTGGAGTCGCATACATCATCAGAACCTTAGACTCTCCGTCTGTCCAGGGGAACTGCATTCGAATCGCACCATTTCAGTATCATTTCTGATTCAAGTCGACAAATTGTCATGACCAAAAAACCAGACAAACTCTATATTCCTTCATTGATCGCAGTCCCAGAATCATCTGGTTTTTCAGCCCGGGAATCACTAGTGTTTCAATGTCGTCGTCAATCCCTCCAGTTTTCAGAATACTTGTGATACATCCGTCAACTTTAAACCCTCGTCCGTCTGCTGCCTCTAACTGGTCCTTGTATGGCCGTATATCCGTCTTGTCTCCAAGATTTATAGCCACCTCACTTCGGACAAGGTTAGTCGTGGCTTCAGTATCCAGCAGTGTCTGTACGCATGCCCCAACCCTCGCAAGCAACCGCAAGTTCCCCGTATGATCCACAGTACATCGCCTGAACGACACCAGCACGCTCGTTGCGTGTCTTCGTTTTCCACTGCACATTTATCGTCGAACTGCACCTGTTCACAGGCATCGGGGATGTTTGATGAAATAGTGACTTTGGGATGATTGCGTAAATCACTCTGTTGCATAGGTGTATAAGCTGCAGTGGAATCTACTCTGATTTCCTGCTGTCATTAGGAAAATAGCCGGGACAAAGCCTCTTTCGATTTTTTCTTCTGCCTTGGCCCTCGGTAGTTTAAATAATCGACACACAGCGGGGGCACTCCTTCTCAAGGTGATTTGTCTGACCGCCTTCAAAACAGATTACCCGGCTCTCAGTTGTCTTCACATTGTTCTGCTTTCATATTAAAACAGAAACCTAGAACTTAATGTACTCACAATGCGTGACGCCACCGCCACCATAAAATCAATTTTTTTAATACCCCTTTGCAAAATGAGTGGAAAAGTATTTGGAATAATTCGTATAATGTTTTAAATATTGAAAATTAAAGCGACTCTTCTGGTGAAATACGATTCAATAATAATTCTTCTTGTAAAATACGAATGTGGGTTCGACTCATCTAGGAAAATACAAATGAACGAATAACATTCACGAGAGATAACGCAGTTGTGAAACAACTTCTTATTTGCTACGACAGTTTGGGAGATTTCCCAATGAAGTATCAATAGCAACTGAGTACTACTGAGGTTCAATCTAACATTTTTCTGTTAGAACACCCCAACCTCTCTCTCTCTCTCTCTCTCTCTCTCTCTAAAAACACTAACCATTCTCAGTCAAAATTTCTCAAATCCAACCCTTAAAATAAGTATCAAAACTAAAGTTTGTTAGAAATTCATACTAAATTCTTTTCTAACAAAAGTTATCCAGCAAATTTTGGATTTACCTTCTAAAATAGAAAGTAGAAAGTACCCTATGTTACTAGCAAGCGTATTTACCGACGTACATACGTATTGCTAACGTAATTGCACCATTCCCTTAGGCTGGCTACTTCCACAATTTCCAAACTACTTGTGGTCAAATATTGCTTATGTTTCCAGTCGGTAGGATTTTCTGTGTGACGAACAGGGATAACAGAGTTAACGAATCTACACATCATGACGTCATACTTTCCACCTGTGTCACAAAGTCATTCGAAACACTCACCAGGTCATTATGCAGCGAGTTTTGCAACTGCATCTGAGCCAACAAATCCTCGTGCCGCAAATTTTGCATCTCAAGTTGTGACGCCAGTTCTTCCATTTTCGTGTCAGTACTCGTTGTATTATTCTAAGCACTGTTCCAGCTTTTCCAGCGCCACCCATTCCTCCGTCATCTCCGATTGATCCAGACAGCTGTCGCACACAGTTTGGCCGTTTCCCGCTTCTCTTTCTCTTTCTCTCTCTCTCTCTCTCTCTCTCTCTCTCTCTCTCTCTGGCAGTCTTGTTGGCCAGTTCTCTGGCAGTCTTGTTGTCCAGGCTACCGCCCCACTAAAAATTTTCTCGTAGAAGCAACTCCTGTAGTTCTACATCAGATATGCCATCTATAAGCTGCTTAAATTTCATGTCATCTCTCACTTGCACACCATTTTTTGTTTGCCACATCATCTAGCGGTCTGACTTGCATCGAAAACTCTCGGAGGCCTTCTTTTACGCACTGCATGAGGTTCTTGAATTCAGCTCTGGTAGCTGCTCGACTCTGGAATGGCATCATCCGTTGATCCAATTCATTCAGCATCCTGCCTAGCGTAGGCTCCGGTAAGCGTTCATCGTACTCCCTGAAATGGGCCGGCATACTCGTGAATTCATCAAACGCCGAGCTCGTTAGGCTGGTAAGCAGCACGATCCTAGCTTGTTCGTCTTGCAACGACTAACATCTGCAACCCAAGCGAAGTGTTTCCTCCAGTATGCCAAAGGGAACTTATCTGGCTGTATTGCTCCAAATCCAAACCTTCCCTACTGCCTGTCAAGAAATTTGCCACTGCCACCACAGCCTTGGCCTTCAACGCTCACCCTACGTCATTTATTTTTGAAAATCGAAATCGCTTTGCTCAACAACGAAACAGTTAGGTAACTACGACCCAGAATATGGCCAAAACAGACCTCATTGGATTGCTTCTCTAAGTTCGTTCGCTCTCTCTCTCTCTCTCTCTCTCTCTCTCTCTCTCTCTATCTATCTCTCTTTCTATTAACGACGCCTCAAAGCGTTTCCCTGGGCAGTGAATTTAGCGGAGCGAACGAGATTCACTACTACCCACAATCCTAAAAATGTTAATTTGGCGTTAACTAATCTGTTTTTTCTTTTCATTTGCCCCCTTTTGTACTGCTCTTAGGGCTGCCTCATCCGCTCTCAAGGCCGCAAGAATTTCTAGTTGTTTTTAAATTCAGAAAAAATAACACCAAACACCGCAGGCTCTAAAAGGCAAGAAATTAATCTAATAAACAAATTAAAAGGAAAAGGTCAGTGATCAATCAAAACAATTGCCTAACTGCAATTTACAATGTAGCTAACTCAACTGAAGGATTCTGTCTCTCTCTCTCTCTCTTTCTCTGTTGCTAGAGAACCGTAGTTATTGATTTCTTCAGAGTAACCCTACACAAATACTCGGCGCGACATGCTAAAACTAATAGTGTCTCTGCGGATCACTTTTACTTTGACGTTCGTTAACTGAGTTCTCTAACAAAACAAATCACTGTTATCAACTCTGATGCGAACCAACTGTCTACATACTTGGTAACCTCTGTACTCTAACTAACAGAGAACCAACGATTCTCTTCAAAAGCAACAATCGGTCTGCCTAAGTGTTGGCTATTTGTTAATCTCCATAAAGTTTTTCTATTTGAGTTTTAGTTATCGTTAGATTTATTATGTCCCCACTTTTCTTTACAATTTTTGGGTCCCCCTATCGCAAGGTTGTTACTGAATTCCTTTTCTGTTGACACTAGTCTTATGTTCCAAGTTTAGTATGGGTATATCTAACTAAGTTATGCGAAAATCCAATGTTACCTCTAAAACAAGCTATGTTTAATTAACCAACATCCCACGGTGTTAAATAATTATCCCATTAACGCTTCAATTTCCCGGGTGTGGTAGGGAAGACTCATTCGAAGCATCGAAAATTCTGATCTATATTCTATTCTAATCCCGGCCTTCTAGCAATTAGGGGAGCGTAACAAGTTGTTTTGGGGTCAACTTGTGCCAAAAAGCCACCTCCGGGGAGTTTGGTAAAGATCCCGTCTATTCATGTTATTAAGGAGACCTACTTCCCATGCTATGCTTTTATTGCCGCTAGTTTCCTCTGGGACTGATTTTTTAGTCTGGTTGATTTTCTATTAATAGCTCGTTCTCCAGGCTAAGCTGAACCCGATGTTTACAAAGTCCACTTTAATTAGTTCCACTACTTCAATGCTACAATAAAAAAGCTATATCCCTCTCAGTTTCTGCTTTAGTTTTCAATAGATAAATTTCTTCCCAAACACAATTTGGGTGATTGATTCTTATTTTCAAAGAGTTATGGCTGGGAAATGCGTCATTTTCCGTTGTTAATCCAGAGGTTTTTCTATTCATTGCTGGTCCAAAGGCGCAAAAGTCATTTAAAGGTCTTCCGAGCTCATCTGGGGTCAACCTTCCTTATTTGGATTCAGAATGTCTGGGGGCTCCTACCTATCAAGTTCCATTCATCATATCCTAATAACACTTCCCCAGCTATCTCATTTCTGAGGTCCATTATCACTTTTCCCAGGAAGAAGCTATTAACACCGGAAGAAGTCGCCGAGGGGTTTCATTCACAGAGCGATTTTTTTGAGGTTGGTGTCTAGTGTCTAGTGCCGCTATAAATTCAAAATACACCCGCTCGTTAT